CATGTATATATTTAAGAAAAATATGTTATGTTTATATATTAAATATATTTATATATAATATAAAATATAGGAATATGAATATATAAATGTATAAACGTAAATATTTTCAAAACATATACTGTATGTGTGTGTATTTATATATTCCCCATTTAATATACACAGTACACATACATATATAATGCAAACAAAAACTTTTATTTTGGATGCGATTAATTGCGATTAATCTTTTGACAGCACTACAAAATACATATCTCTGCAGTCTGGACCAATAAAATGTGCATTTTTTTACGTTTTACTACCAAATTATATGTAATATCTAATTTTTATTAATATTTAACGTACACTGGAAAAGTTTCTGCGACATCTCACGAGATCTCGGCAAAAAGTATCATGATTCATTTCCACAACATGATGCATAATGGGATACACTTAGCCTCGAATATCGCTCTGAAGTGTGGATTTAGTGTGCGTTAAGGGCACAGTGCTTTGGCGTTTTTAAGACCTGGGACAGTCTTGCACACTTACTTCCTGTTGCATGCACGCGCTCTCAAGTGGCCAAGACCACAAGTGCGGGTATTTGGACAGGCCCAAAATGTAGGGCAGAGAATTGGTTCCGCTCATCAGTTGTTGATTGGATGGAGGCAGAGCTGAATGCAAGCTTGCAGTCAGCAGAGTTTTTGAGAACAAAATGATTGAAGAAGTTTGACGTATGTCACTATAGACAATTTTGTCATTTCACCAGAAGATCAAAATGCATTAGTGCATTAATTAACGATACTTGATGGGACCTGTATTGTAAAGTGTTACCCTAAAATTTAATAAAATCAATTAAAGTTAAATACAAATATAAAAAAATAAGCAAATAAATGAATAAATAAATAAAAATAACCTAATAAATAGACAAAAGCACATAACAAAATTACTAAATTAAATGAAAAAAAGTACAAAAAATTAATAAATAAATAAAACTATGGTCACATCCATTAACAAGCCAACAACTTTTGCCTCAATAAACTCCTAATTGGCTGCTTATTAATAGTTAGTAAGGTAGTTTAAAGGGTTAGTTCACCCAAAAATGAAAATTCTGTCATTAATTACTCACCCTCATGTCATTCCAAACCCTTAAGACCTTCGTTCATCTTCGAAACACAAATTAACACAATTCAACCATAATTTTACGAAGCTAAGAGAATACTTTTTGTGCGCAAAGAAAACAATAATAACAATTTATTCAGCATTTCTTCTCCCAGAGTTACCGTCTTCCGCAGAGCACGCGCATGTTGAATGTAAACAGAATTGTTGAATAAATTGTTATTATTGTTTTCTTTGCGCACAAAAAGTATTCTCTTAGCTTCGTACAATTACGGTTGAATTGTGTTCATTTGTGTTTCGAAGATGAACGAAGGTCTTATGGGTTTGGAATGACATGAGGGTGAGTAATTAATGACAGAATTTTCATTTTTGGGTGAACTATCCCTTTAAGTTTAGGTATTGGGAAGAATTAGGGATGTAGAATATGGTTATGCAGAATATGTATTTTATATAAGTACTAATAAATAGCCAATATGTTAATAATAGGCATGCTAATTAGAAACTTAGTTAACAGTGAGAACTGGTCCCTATACTAAAGTGTTACCAACTCACCACCACTCACACTTTACATTTCTTGAGAAAATGTCAAAATATTCATTATTAACAAATCACATGTAGGGCTAGTTGGCAAGTATAATTAGAACACAATATGCTATTTTAAAAGGTCTGAAATAGAGTGTTGTCGTGCTTTATAGTATCTAACACTGTAATGGACACACGCAGCATCTGTGAAGCGGCTCTGACTGATGCTTTCTATTCAACAGATGGTGGATTAAGTTGCCCAGCAGGCTTAGTCAACAGAGTGGCAGTTGAAAAAAACACTGATCACTAGGCTATAGCCTACGTTAAGATTCCCAGCTTTCACTGCTGCATGACATCACATCCTTTATGGTTTCAGTTCCTGTAGTGGTGATCTTGCCCTTGCTGTTGTACTGCTATACAAGAAAAATTAAATTTTTGTCATGACAGTTTCATCATTTTGTTGTAGAATTAATGAATATACTAATAAAACAAATGTTACAACTTAC